ACATTTATAATTGTTAGCTCTTCCTGATGGATAGACCCTGTTATTATTATATAATGCCCTTCTTCATCCCTTGTTACTGTCTTTAAAGTCCAGTTTGTCTGATATAAGTATAGCTACTCCAGCTTTCTTTTGACTTCCAGTAGCATGATAGATATTTCTCCATCCCCTTACTTTTAACCTGAAGTGTCCTCCAGTCTCAAATGTGTTTCTTGTAGATGGCTAATAGATGGATTTGGTTTTTTATTCCTTCTGCTACCCTGTCTTTAATTGGAGTATTCAGCCCATTTACATTCACTGGTATTATTGAAATATATGGGTTTAGAGTCATTGTGTTGTTTGTGGAATCATGCTTGTGGTGGTGTCCCTAGTATCTTGTGTTCCTTGCAACATTTCCCTCAGGGAGTCCCCCTCAGGATTTCTTGTAGGGCTGGTTTAGTGGTGACAAATTCTTTCAACTTCTGTTTATTTGGAAAGACTTTTATCTTCCTTCTATTCTCAATGACAGACTTGCTGGATAGAGGATGCTTGACTGCGTATTTTTTCTGTTCATCACATGGAAGATCTCCTGCCATTCCTTTCTGGCTTGCCAAGTGTCAGTAGATAGGTCTGTCACCACTCTGATAGGTTTCCCTTTGTACGTTAGGGCCCTTTTCTCCCTAGCTGCTTTCAAAATTCTCTCTTTGTCCTTGTATTTTGCCATTTTTACTATGATATGCCGTGCAGAAGATCGATTCAAGTTACATCTGAGGGTAGTCCTCTGAGCCTCTTGTATTTCAACATTTATTCCCTTCCCCAGGTCAGGGTAGTTCTCTGCTATAATTTGTTCCAGGACTCCTTCAGCACTTTTTCCTGTCTCTTCCTCTTCTGGGATTCCTATGATACGGATATTGTTCTGTTTGATTGTATCGCTGAGCTCTCGAACTCTTCTTTCATGTTCCTGGATCAGTTTATCTCTCTTTCTCAGTTTCCTTTTCTTCCATAATTGTGTCTTCTAAATCACTTATTCTCCTTTCTCCCTCTTCAGTCCTTGCATTGGAAGCTTCCTATTTTTTTATGTATCTCATTTATAGCATTTTTTAATTCATCACAACTATTTTTAAGCTCCATTGTAGCCATAGTTTCTGTGACATTTTCCATGCTTTTTTCAAGCCCAGCAACTAATTTTATGATTATATTTCTAAATTTTTATTCAGTTATGTTGCTTATATCTGTTTTGAGCAGTTCTTTAGCTGTCATTTCTTCCTGGAATTTCTTTGGAGGAGAGCTCTTTCGTTTCGTCATTTTGGTTAGCTTTCTATCTCTTGTTAATTTTAAAATCTTGTTGTACACTCTGCCCCTGCGAGTTCTGTTGTATTAGAGAGGGTTCTTTGACTGTTCAGGGCCTTCTGTTCAGGAAGTGTTCTTTGAATGGTGTCTTTTGGTTTCTCTTGTTGAGCATTTGGTTATTTTGTTTCTCTACTCGTAGAGGTATTTGGGACTCTCCACCATGTGTAGTTTGGCTTGTTTCTTGAGGCAGCCCTGGAAAAAGAAAACAGACAACCACAGAGGGAACAAAGGTACACAAACACACAGACAAAACCAATAAACACGCAAACCCAGGTTCAGGTAAAAACAACAACACCACCAACAAAACAGCTCTCTAGCGGGGATAGGTGTGGTTTGGTGTAGGCAGGTCTGGCCTCCACTGTGTCTGCTGGCCGCTCCCTGAGGCCCTGCCTTGGTGGTTGTGGGGAGAAGAATGGTGTCATCCCAGTCCCTTCTCAACCAAGCGTTGCAAATCACTTCTTTGGGTCCGATCTCCCTGTGCTGAGAATGTGCCAGGGTGGGCTGAGTCATTGCCCCATGCCCCGCCTGGTTCCCAGTTCCCAGTCCACAGGCTTTGTTTATACCTCCCTAAAGAATCCCACAGGTCACTGCTTCCCTGTTGCCGGGGGTTGAATGGGGAGTGGGTAAGTGTCGCAGCCGCAGATCCGCTGGGGTCAAGCAGCAATACAACCCCAGTGCGTGTGGGGAATGTAGCAACTTTAGGTCTGCAGAGTCCGTGCCACCGTGGCGCCACCTGGCTTCTGCTGCCGCCGCCAGGGATGGTGCCAGGAGTGCTGCAGTGCAGTTTTTTCTGGTGACTTCTGGGTCCTGAGGAACCTAGTTTAAAGTCAGAACCCCAGCCAGAACTAAAAAACACTCTCTTTCCATGCCGAGGTTTTTCTCTTCTCCAGGGACGGTTCTATGAGCAATCTCAGATTTTCCTTCCTTTTCTCTGGACTTGTGGCAGCTCACCACCACTCACTGGTTAATCACTCACCGCAACTGCCCGCAAGCCAGGTTCCCTCCCCTCCCTCCGTATCTCTGGGTCCTAGCATCTGCTTTTATCTTCCCCAGTTTGCACTCATGCACTTATGAGGTTTCCTTCCCAGTGTATTCTGTCTCTTTCTCTTTCCAGACTCCTGTGGCTCAGTGTCCTATGACTTCAGGCCTTCTCTGTTTGAGAGATGGGTGCAGGCGAAATGCATGGAGCTCCCTACTCCACCATCTTGCCGTTCCCCCTGGTGTCTGTTTTTTTTTTTTTTTTTTTTGAGCTATCAACTATTTATTTTTTTTTTTTTTTTTTTTTTTTTTTTTACAAATAGTTTATTGTCAAATTAGTTTCCACATAACACCCAGTGCTCATCCCCACAAGTGCCCTCCTCCATGCCCATCCCTCCTCCCCCCCATATCCATCAGTCCTCAGTTTTTGTCAGCATTCAAGAGTCTCTCATGGTTTGCCTCTCTCCCTTTCCCCCACCATTTCCCCCCTTCTTCTCCCGGTTGGTCCTCTGTTAAGTTCCTCCTATTCCTCCTATACGTGCACACATACGATATTTGTCCTTCTCTGCCTGACTTATTTCGCTCAGCATAACACCCTCAAGCCCCCTGGTGTCTGTTTTAAAGACAAATATTAGACCCTAGAAATTTCAGGTTCCTACAGTGCTGTGGAGTTGATTTGCATACACACTTCTGAAACATCATTAATCAAGGAGTTTACGATTCCACATTATATCTCTCACACACACCTGTTCTTGTTAGAAATGAATAAAAGTAGATAGCAGCTGCATCTGCAGAGTGAATTTACTGATTTAAGGAACATCATTGGTTTTATCTTTAAAGCTGGAGTATTATGGCAAAGCTTCAAGGGTGTTTCTAACATATAGTTCTGTCAGAGTCAATTACCATTAGAACACATTTTATTTTTATTTTTTTTAAATGTTTTTTTAATTTATTTCTGAGAGAGAGAGACAGCGTGAACAGGGGAGGGTCAGAGAGAGAGGGAGTCACAGACTGAAATAGGCTCCAGGCTCTGAGCTGGCAGCACAGAGCCCGATGCGGGGCTCGAACCCACGAACCGCGAGATCATGACCTAAGGGAAAGTCGGACGCTCAACCGACTAAGCCACCCAGGCACCCTGAACACATTTTAAAAATGTCATTCAGAAGGTGTTTTTTTTTTTAAAAAAAGACAGGCAGTTTGAAGTTATCAACAACAACAATAACAAAATAAGCCTTTTAAACAAGTACATTTTCAAGAATGAAATAAAATATCCTGGACAGGTTTCATCATATTAGCCACTGTTGTATGTAGGACCCAACAAATTTAAATGAGTTTTGCCTCCTTTGATATAAAATAAAAATAAACGAACTCCTATTTCATCTTCCCACATTATATAGAGAATGTTAGTCCTTAACTTTTACTGGGTCACGGACACTTTGAGAATATGATGTAAGTCTTCTAAGAAAGACCCTCAAATACATATACACAAACATTAGTGTAAATTTTCGGGGATTATTGACTCCTAAAATTTACTCATAGACACTCTAGTTTCAAAGTCCCAATCTAGAGGGTAGTGTAGTTTTAAGAACTCAGAATAAAAAATCCATTCAGTGTCTAAAGAAGAAAAAAGTGTGTGTGTGTGTGTGTGTGTGTATTTGTGTGCGTTTGTGTGTACATGCATTTTTTTTTATTTTTTTAATGTTTTTTTTATTTATTTCTAGGAGAGAGAGACAGCGTGAGCAGTGTGTGTACATGCATTTTAACATTAATTTAAAAATAAGTCATGTTGCAGACAAACTTACTACTTCCAGAAATATTTAAAAAATTTTTTAAATGGCTTATTTTTGAGAGACAAAGAGAGATATAGCATGAGTGGGGAAGGGGCAGAGAGAGAGGCACACACAGAATCTGAAACAGGATCCAGGCTCCGAGCTGTCAGAGCAGAGCCTGAGTAGGGGCTCGAACTCACAAACCATCAGATCATGACCTGAGCTGAAGTTGGACGTTTAACCGACTGAGCCACTCAGTTGCCTCCAGATATATTGTCTATTGTTGTCTTTTTTATTAAGATTTTATTTTTTATTTTATTTTTATTTTTTAATGCTTATTTTTGAGAGAGAGAAAGAGACAGAGAATGCAAGTGGGGGAAGGGCAGAGAGAGAAGGAGACCTAGAATCCAAAGCAGGCTCCAGGCTCTGAGCTGTCAGCACAGAGCCCAAGGTGGGGCTTGAACTCACAAATCGTAGGATCATGACCCGAGCTGAAGTCGGATGTTTAACTGAGTGAGCCACTCAGGTACCCCTAAAGATTTTATTTTTAAGTAATCTTTGCACCCAATGTGGGACTTGAACTCACAACCCCAAATCAAGAGTTGCACACTGTACCGATTGATCCAGCCAGCGCCTGGATCTTGTTATCTTTAATTTCAAGAACCAATTTATATAGAATCCAGCAATATACAATTTAAAAATTATTCTAAATTAAACTACCATTCAAGGAACACTCTAGGGTTTTTGTTTTTGTTTTTGATACTGGAAAACTTATATTCATTCAAGATTTCTCTATCAGAACTTGTCATAATTTTATTTGGGTTCACAGGGGAAAATACTATTAAAATAGTTCATTTACATCACACTGAAGGACATCTTGAGCTCATTTGTTTTATTTACTTATTTATTGACAATTTTGAGGAATAATTCACATACCATACAATTCACTCATTTAAAACTACACAACTCAGTAGTTTTCTAGTAGATTCATAGAGTTATATAACCATCACCACAATAATTTTAGAATGTTTTCATCAACCCAAAAAGAATCCCTGTTCCCATTAGCAGTCACACCCCATTCCTTACCCCCTAAATATTCCACTCTTAGGCATCCTATGATCTTCTGTCTTTCTCTACAGGTTTGCCTACTTTGGAAGTTTCATATAAATGTCCATACAATACGTGGCCTTCTGTGATTGGCTTCTTTCATTTAGCATGGCACTTTGAAGGTTCATCATGTTGTAGTACATATCAGTACTTTATTTCTTTTTATGACCAAATATTCTATTATATGGCTATACTATACTTTGTTTATCTATTCATCAGTTGATGAAGATTTAGGTTGTTTTCAACTTGCAGCTCTTATGAAGAATACTGCTAAACACATTTGTGTACAAGTTTTTGTGTTGACCAGCCTATTAAAAGTAAAAGGAGAACTCTTATAATTACAACAAAACTATACAGAATTTACTTTGCAGTAATGTTAGACTTTTCAAGATTCAACAATTTTCATATCCGCCATCACAAAAGCTCATCATGAGACGGAAACTGGTATCATTACTTTACCACAGAATCAGAGGAGATTAGATGTTTTCTAAGATCCCTTCTTACATTAAGTCAATAATTACTACTTTCTGTTTCTTCTCCATGCACAGAAAAGAAAGATAGGTTGTAGACATTTCTGGGTCCTGAGGAAATTATCAACAAACATTACTGAGCTCATTACAAGCAGCAAGCACAAGTGTGCACATGGAACTGGGCTGTAGACAGAAGTAATACACCAAGTACGACTTGCCAGGCTACTCTGAGTTCCCCATGCTAGTGTGAAGTACTTGACTCCCTCACTATTTCCCAACTGTGTTTTGCCTACTTTAATACTGTTATGCTTTTGACACTCTTCCTTTCCTTCTGGTTACTACTTCTGCCTCTCCTTGGGGAACTTTCCATTCTCACTCACAAAGATCCTCATCATTGACTCAACTCTGCCAACTATCTCCACTCCACCTCCAAGACTATGGACTAAACTTCATCACGGCTTTCTATGCTGGATTAATGCCCCCTCTGGACTCCAGGTTGGCCAAGTGCTGTGCAAGATGCTCAGGAGGTGCACAATGGATGTTTGTTAAATGAAGGATCTATTAAGATTTCCTATCAGTTCCACGTGTGTGAGGTTTAAAGGGGTAAAAATGAATTTGTGGTTTAGTTGAATTTTTCAGTCATTAATTAATGACATACTTCTCCAGTGATCAAAGCATTTGGAATCCTCAACTTATTCATGAGTCTCTTTCCTCAGCTATTTATGGTAATACAGTTGATTCAGTGGGATTGAAATGATTTACTCAATAGAGACAGATTCAGAGGCATAGGAAGCAAACTCCTAAAGATTTGACCCATTAGAATAATCAGACAGAAGACCCAAAGAGAAGGTTTATCTAACCAATTATTTCTTTTGCTTTGTATTTCAGAGCAATCTTACTTCAGATCTTTGGATTTAATTTCAATGAAATTCAGTGAACATCAGCTGAGTTCAGTATGGGAGGTATAACCTGGAAGGCTGAATCACAATTTACTGCTAGGGGGTCCTGCCAAGCTTTGCCATTCTTTCAGAGGAGGGTTTCCTAGAGAAGCCAATTTTTTCAGATAGTCACAGGGCTCTAGTTGTGGAATATCAGGATTCTGTCTATAATATTTCTGCAACTTCTCTAGCACTATGGGCAACCCAACTGTGGAGGCATAGAACATGGGTCCCCCCTTGTGTCTTGGCCATCCATACCCATGTAAATAGATAATATCAATGTGCTCTGGAATAGCAGCTATCCCTTCTTCCAAGATACGGAATGCTTCATTGATGAGTGAATATAAGCAGCGCTCACGGATCTCATCCTGGCTAATGATGCGTGGTTCAATGCAATAGATTTTTCTGTACTGTGACAGAAATTCAGAAAGCCAGGGATCAGGTTTGTAAATCCTACCCAATGGCTTATCATATTGATACCAACCCTTACCTGTCTTCTGGCCAAATCGTCCTGATTCACAGAGAATATCAGGAATTGGGCAGTATCTCCCATTGTCCCGCTTTCGGGAAAAAGTTCCTGGAGGCAATGTAGGTCCAGTAAGGCCTTTCCCTTGTCGACATTTCCAACCCACGTCCAATCCAGAAAGATCTGACACTCTAAAAGGTCCCATTTTGAAACCAAACTCTTCTAGCACCTGATCTATGTTTTCCGGAGTACTGCCTTCTTCTAACAAGAAATGTGCCTGATTGTAATAAGGATTCAACATTCGATTGCCAACAAACCCATAACAGTTACCTACAACTACTCCAATTTTTTTAATCTTTTTTGATAAATTCATAACTGTGGCAATAGTAGTAGGGGAAGAGTATTGGCTGGGAATAATCTCTAACAACTTCATGACATGGGCTGGTGAGAAGAAGTGAGTGCCAATGACCAAGTGAGGGCGGTCAGTGGAAGAAGCAATCTCATCAATGTCCAAGGTTGAAGTATTGGTGCACAAAAAAGCTTCTGGCTTGCACACAACTGACAATTCAGCAAAGACTTGCTTCTTCAGGTTAATGTCCTCAAATACTGCTTCAATGACTAAATCTACACCACCAAGCTCTTTCATAGATGTAGTTAACCTGGGTTTTGGTCCTGACCAATGCTGCATTTTGGATGCTTCCTTTTCCAAAATGGAGGTTATTATCCCATCGGCAGTCTCTAGCTGCTTCTTGTCCAATTCTACAGCAATCACAGGGATCTTGGCCTTTGCAAAAGAAATGACAATGCCTCGGCCCATTGTTCCCAAACCTGCAGACAAGAGTGAAGCAGGGAAAGAATGATTCATTGTTGTTGGGAACTGGAAAAGTACTCAGTAAATGAGAATCTTCTGTTGCAATGGGGCATTTATAGAGATCAATTCAAGGAATACAAATAGAAGCTGCATGCTCGGTCAAAGAGGATGACCTTCCCTGATAGAGGAAGACTGTTCTTTGGTCAAGGGTATATGAGTAGCTGCTAGAACCTCCAAACAAGCTCTTAAGGAATACAAATGGATTGAATATTAGTTAAGATTAGGCACTGCGTTAAGTGTTCCAGAGGATGGGACATTCAGTAATATTCACACACATACACTATTAGAATTAATAAACAAGTTCAGCCAGGTTGCATTATACAAGATCTATATACAAAAATCACTTGTATTTCTAAATACTATCAATGAACAATCTGAATATGAAATTAATAAAACAAAACTTCTTATAATAGCATTAAAAAGAATGAAATACTTCAGAATAAATTTAAGAATTGTAAAGCTTGTACCCTAAAAACAAGGAAACATTGTTGAAATAAAATAAAGACCTAAATAAATAGAAAGACATCCCGTGTTCATAGATCAGAAGACTTAATATTGTTAAAATGGCAATAGTACCCAAATTGATCTACAGATCCAATGTAATCCCTATCAAAAATCCATCTGGCCTTTTGCAGAAATTAACATGATGGTCATAAAATGCATATAGAAATACAAGTAACCTAAAATAACCAAAATAATATTGAAAAAGAAGAACAAAAAGTTGGAGGATTTACTCTTCCCAATTTAAAAACTTATGACAAAGCTACGGTATTCAAGAAAGTGTGGTATAAGGATAGATATATCGATCAATGAAATAGAATTGAGAGTCCTGAAATGATCTCATAACTTATAGCCAATTTTTGATATGGTGCCAAGGTAATTCAATGGGGAAAGGACAGTCTTTTCAGCAAATAATGCTGGGATAACAGGATATCCATTGGCAAAAGAATGATGTTGTACTCCTAGCTCATACCATCTACAAAAATTAATTCAAATTGGATCACAGACTGAAGAGTTAAAACTGTAAAACTCTTATAAGTAAATCTCCATGACCTTGGATAAGGCAATGATTTCTTAGATGTGATACCAAAAACATAAGCAGCATAAGAAAAATAGATAAATTAGACACTATCAAAATTAAAAATTTGTGTGCTTCAAAAGATGCCATAAAGAAAATAAAAAGAACCCATGGAATCATATACCTAGTAAAGGACTTGCATCAAAATATATAGAGAACTCTAACAACACACAATAAGAATACAATTTAATTTAAACTTTTCTCCAAAGAAAATATATAAATAACTAATGAGCATATGAGGAGATGCATCATTAATCATAAGGGAAATGCAAATCAAAGCCACAATGAGCTATCATTTCACATCCACTAGGAGAGCTATAATTTTTAAAAAAGACAATATAAAGTTCTAGTGAGGATGGGGGGAAATTCTAACCCTGATATATGGCTGGAAAATTGTAAAATAGTGCAGCTGCTGGCGAGGATGTGGAGAAACGGGCACCCTCCTGCACTGTTGGTGGGAATGTAAACTGGTACAGCCCCTCTGGAAAACAGTGTGGAGGTTCCTCAGGAAACTAACAATAGAACTCCCTTATGACCCAGCAATAGCACTGCTAGGAATTTACCCAAGGGATACAGAAATGCTGAGGCATAGGAGCACATGGACCCCAATGTTCATAGCAGCACTCTCCACAATAGCTAAAACATGGAAAGAGCCTAAGTGTCCATCAACAGATGAATGGATCAAGAAGATGTGGTTTATCTATACCATGGAATACTACATGGCAATGAGAAACAATGAAATCTGGCCATGTGTAGCAACATGGATGGACCTTGAGGGTGTTATGCTGAGCGAAATAAGTCAGGCAGAGAAGGACAAATACCATATGTTTGCACGTATAGGAGGATTAGGAGGAACTTGACGGAGGAACAAGGGGGAGAAGAAGGGCGGAAATGGTGGGGGAAAGGGAGAGAGGCAAACTATGAGAGACTCTTGAATGCTGACAAAAACTGAGGACTGATGGATGTAGGGGGGAGGAGGGATGGGCATGGAGGAGGACACTTGTGGGGATGAGCACTGAGTGTTATGTGGAAACTAATTTGACAATAAACTATTCGTAAAAACAAAAACAAAAACAAAAACAAACATTATGCTATGATCTATACCATGGAATACTACATGGCAATGAGAAACAATGAAATCTGGCCATGTGTAGCAACATGGATGGACCTTGAGGGTGTTATGCTGAGCGAAATATGTCAGGCAAAGAAGGACAAATATCATATGTTTGCACGTATAGGAGGATTAGGAGGAACTTGACGGAGGAACAAGGGGGAGAAGAAGGGCGGAAATGGTGGGGGAAAGGGAGAGAGGCAAACTATGAGAGACTCTTGAATGCTGACAAAAACTGAGGACTGATGGATGTAGGGGGGAGGAGGGATGGGCATGGAGGAGGACACTTGTGGGGATGAGCACTGAGTGTTATGTGGAAACTAATTTGACAATAAACTATTCGTAAAAACAAAAACAAAAACAAAAACAAACATTATGCTATGTTAAAGATACTGAAAACAAAAGGGCACATATTGTATGATACTATTTATATGAAATGTCCAGGGTAGGCAAATCCATGGAGGCAGAAAGTATATTGGTGGTTGCAAAGGGCTGGGGGAAGGGCAATGAGGAATGACTGCCAATGTGTACAGAGTTTCTTTTTAGGGTGATGAAAATATTGTAAAATTGATTGCGTAGTGGTTGCATAGCTTTGGAATATCTAAAAACTATTGAAGCGAATTCTTTTTTTGGTGACATTGTTACAATGCACTTAAGTTTTTTTTTTTCCTTTGGTAAAATACACACAACATAAAATTTACCATCATAACCACTTTTAAGTGTACAGTTCAATGGCATTCGTATATTTGCAGTATTGTACAACCAGCATCACTTTCCATCCCTATAGCTCTTTCAACTTGCAAAGATGAAACTCTGTACCCATTAAAAAAAAGAAAAACCATCCCTATCCTTCCTCCTACCAACTCATGGCAACCAACATTCTGCTTTCTATCTCTATGATTTTGACTTTCTAGGTATCTCATATAAGTGGAAGCATATAGTACTTGTTCTTTTGTGACTTGCTTATTTCACTTAGCAGAATATCCATAAGGTTTATCCGTGTAGTAGTATGTGTCAGAATTTCTTACCTTTTTAAGGCTGAATAATATCCGATTTTATGTATACACCACATTTTGTTTACCTATTTGTCTGTCAATGGACACTTGGGTTGCTTCTACTTCTAGGCTATTGTGAATATTGCTGCTATGAACATGAATTAAAAATTATCTGTTTGAGTCCCTGCCTTCAATTCTTTCAAAGGTGGAATTGCTGGGTCATATAGTAATTCTATTTTTAATTTTTTGAGGAACCACCATACTGTTTTCCATAGAAGTTACCCCATTTTACATTGAATCATAAATTTTATGGTAAATGAGTTACATCTCAGTAAAATTGTTATAAAAAATATAGTGGTCCCAACCTTCACTTAGCTTATAACCTAGAGATAGGAAGAAGAGTTCACAAGTATCCATTCTATATGGTAAAGTAAGTGATGTACAAATTTCTTTGGTGATTCAAAGGAAAGAGACTATTTTTAGTCGGATGAATCAAGAAAAGCTTCAAGATAAAGATATTTGGAGAAATACTTGAAGAAAGATTATATTGAAATAAGTGAAATGGGGAAAGTAGAAGCAACCAGACTGGGGAAGGGAAAAGGAAAGTGAGCAATAAGCAAAGGCAAGAAGAACAGAAAATGTGGAAAAATCATTTGATGGCAAAGATGTCATTGTCCTTTCCCCATCCCACTTTATTTTTCTCCTGGGCATATAGAAGACTGTATTTTCTGGACCCCTTGTATCCTAGTAGGGCCTGTGACTAATTCTGGTCAATGAAATGGAGGAGGTGGGTGGTGTGGGATCATGATTGGTCCCTACAATCTCCCACAAGATCCCTCATTACTACCAGGATGTAGAAGATGCAGGGAACAACTATAAGGCCTTGAAGGAGGCCGTTGAGCAGGTGCTGGCAAACTATGACCTGAGGGCCAAATCCACGTCACTGCCTATTTTAGTACTGCCAGTGAGCTAAGAATGGTTTTGCATTTCAAATAGTTGAAAGCAACAACAAAGAATATTTTCTGACACACGCAAGTTATATCAAATTTCAGTCCCATAAATAAAGTTTTATTGGAACACAACCACACAAATTTGACTCCATACTATCTATGGCTGTTTTTGTGTGCAGAGTTGAGTAGTTGCAAAAGATCATATGGCACAGAAAGCTTAAAATATTTACTATCTGGCTCTTAACAAAAAAAGTTTGCTGACCCTTTTCCAAAGGAGAATGGCAGAGCCATTAGTTGGGAAAAACAACTGGTCCTACCTTGAGGGTGTTATGCTGAGCGAAATAAGTCAGGCAGAGAAGGACAAATATCATATGTTTGCACGTATAGGAGGATTAGGAGGAACTTGACGGAGGAACAAGGGGGAGAAGAAGGGCGGAAATGGTGGGGGAAAGGGAGAGAGGCAAACCATGAGAGACTCTTGAATGCTGACAAAAACTGAGGACTGATGGATGTGGGGGGGAGGGAGGGATGGGCATGGAGGAGGGCACTTTGGGGATGAGCACTGAGTGTTATGTAGAAACTAATTTGACAATAAACTATTTGTAAAAAAAAAGAAAAAAAAAGAAAAAAGAAAAAAGAAAAAAGAAAAAAAAAAAAAGAAAAGAAAAACAACTGGTCCTAGATGACCATATGGAGCAAGCAGGAAATAAATCTTTATTGTATTAAACCGTTATTATCTACTACAGCAGCAGGTTATCTGTTACCTAGCCAACAAAAAGAAAAAAGAAAAAAAAAAAAAGAAAAGAAAAACAACTGGTCCTAG